TCAAAGTATTACTATATTATTAAAAATAGGATTTAAAAATCAAATTTGTCTGTTTAAAACTAAAAATTACAAAATTCCATTAATTTTAAATCTAAACAAAAACATCCGCAGCAGTTTTTAATGATATATAAAATTGTAATTAGAATTAAATGGATTCTAACACATAAAAATGTAAGAATTTATTTAAAAATTTCAAACATAAAAAAATACCAGTTTTAAAATATATATATGGTAAATACGTACATCTTTATATAAAAATTTAAAAATAAATATAATTATAATATTCCATTTATTGAAGGAATTAACAAATGAAATGAATGCTAAAATAAAAAAAATAAAACTTTTTTTAAATACGAATCAAATATTGTCAAAGGGTGGCTTTAATATTTTGGAATTTGGCAACTCTAGTGTTGGAATCTGGCAACTCACAACTTTATCGTAAAGTCTGACATTTTTGATGTTATACATACCCAGAACATTTTGACATACGAGCGCTATTTGTGTTGTTTACAGTAACTTAAAATATTCATCTCGGCCAAAAAATGGAACTGAATCGCGAGGATTTTCGCGTGGTTATATTTACAACTTTTACCGTGGACTCAGCAACAGTGCATCGATGAACTTAATTAACATTTTTGCAATAAAGTTCCAACAAGGACCAGTGCTTATCGATGGTATAGTGAATTCAATCGAGGTCGTAGATCACTCCAAGACGAATTTCGTGAAGGTCGTCTTAAATCAGTTGTTTTTCGGTAAACTATTGATGCTGTGCGCAAACTGATATTGCAGGATCGTCATGTGATCTATAGTGCCATTAGTATGACAAACCTACATTCAATATTGCATGAACATTTGATTGTAAACAAACAATGAACATATAATGATACTGTTAAAATTACTTAAAGCGCGATAAATCAATAACCAAATACGTCAGAGACATTCGATTTTATCGCCGAGAAGGTATGAGAGGACTTTATAGGAAGGTCAAAATTGGATGATGGGGGTAGCACTGCTCACTTTTAGGTGAAATCACATATCTCGGCACGAGCTCCACCGATTTCAATTAAATCCGGCATATAACATTCTTTTGAAATTCCTATGCTACAGTGCGAAATCGTATTAGAACCACGCCTGCTTCCTATATAACATAATTTTAAATTCAATCTGATTCTTTCACTTTCGAGTATGCAAATCAAGCCACTGAATGTAACGGAATAAAAATTTGCACGAATAGTGCCTTAAAAGTATAATAAGCCACTTTATAACCAAAAATTTTCCAAATCGAACGAAAACTGTTCAAGCCTTAAGGTACCGAAAGTGTGGACCCTAGTGCCAATAGTTGACTTTTTACCGAAAATATCGATCAATGTGCGAGATTATAATTGAACTTCGGAACTATGTCTGAATGTTGAATCGGGTCATCACTTCCCTTAGCGCTCATGTACCTAATATAAAGATTTGCGAACTACCGGGTGACTTTATTCCATATGATTGGTGATGGTATGTGAGGTACTTTAATGAAACCCTGAGAACATTTTCTTCGTCTGTGGCATGTTAATAATACATATGTGGTAATCAGGTCAATACTACCCGCAACTCCCATATACTACTTATAATGATTTTCGTTACTCTAACAATTTTTTTTTACCGAATATGTCGGTCAGTGAGTATTATTTATAAGTAAATTTGCTTCAAAATATGTTCTCGAGTATACTTGAGCAATGTTAAAATTAATGCAATCAGCGCGTCCCTTTCTCTATTTCCAATACACCCCGTAAAATTATTTTCGTCTTTCCAACTATCTTTGGTTAAATTGAAATTAAGGAGACAAGTTTTTTTTATAAGGTATGTATTTAGCGTTGAGTTAGAATGAAATTTTTCTATACCTTGGTCTAAACCCCATATCCCTAATAAAATGAATTCCAATTCTGTGGTTGACGTTTTGCACATCAACTCAATATATTAAATTTAGTCTCTTCGGTCGAGTTGACATCACATACAAATACTATCTAATTTGAAGGTGGTTTTAGTATAATTTTAGCTGACGCAAACTAAAATATAGCAATGAAGCTGAGTCTAAGTTTATGGTCTTGAATACAAGTATGTATAAGTCAAGAAGATACCAAATTTGGTTGTAATTTATTCACGATTTCATCGAATAGTGTATGTTTAATTCTTTTGAATAAATTTTTTATATAAAGTTTTGCCAGCATCTAAAGATATTTCCCGAGCTTTGATTCTTGCAAGTTGCAAGAGTATAAAAAGTTCGGTTACACCCAAACTTAGCCCTTGCTTATTTGTTTTCAACTGCATTTCAACACAATTGGCACGAACTAGCTATGTGGATTGAGCTTTGTGGAAATTACCGCGTAATATAAATTAATTGCAATTGCAATAACAAAACCAAAAATATATTAATAATTTATCATAAAAGTATTGCAAAACAACGTTTGCCACATTTATCGTGGTCAGTTGGTCGTTTGGAAGTGGCAACAGTAACTAGGTTTCACATACTCGTACATAAACTTTACTTCAGTGAATTATATCTATAATTACGAATTTGCTGGCTTATTTCTTAAATAAAATTCCAACTATAAAAATATCATTTTTGTTTTCGACTTTGCTCGTACGCGGTGCAGCAAACCATGAGTGTCCAAGGCGAATTCGATTAAGCAAATGTTAATCAACTAATCGCCTTTGTTTAATTATGTAGCGAACGAGTCAGTGGTGGCAAATGGTGGAGGTTTATATGAGCGGTGAAGCTCGATTAAGTAAAGAGCGGTGTTGCACAAGTTAATAACTTATGGTAGTAAATATTTACTTTTTGGTTATGATAATTTTAATTTTTCCTAAATTAATAAACTTACTTTAAATATATTCATATGTATATAAATTCTTTGTGCATGAGAAAATTTGTTAAAAAAATGAAATAAAAACCAAGTTCTAAAATTTGAGATGCTAACAAGTTGTATACATGAAATGCTAATAAAATAAAGTTTAAAAATTTTCGGGATTCCCTTTCCCGAATCCCGAAATTTCGGGATTTATCAAAAACTCGCTCACAGTAAGCGGAACACTACTGTAGTAAAAACGGCAATGAATTTTGGTGTTGTTCGGTGTAGTAACAAAGACAAATTATTTAAGGTTGCCACCCGTTTGGAATTTTTGATTTTAAAAAATATAAGGAACACTTAAATATGTTATAAATATCAAACTGAAAAGTTTTTAGCTAGCAAAGAGCTAAGCTTTTTTAAGAAGGGTTGCCAGTTATCTGAAAAATGTGATTCAAATATATTAATATATCAAATAAAAGATATTTCAGTAGAATTTAGATATATAGAAATACTTTCAATACTATTGTCACTGAACCAAACTGAAAAACAAACAAATACTTTTATTGATAAAAAATGATTTTGTGAAATGTCACTAACCTATTATTTGCATTTTTCAGTACCATCCGAAGCGAGTTCCACCAACAACTACTTTGAAGTCGCGCCCTGTGATCTTAAGGCAGTCGAAAAAAATGAGTGCATACGCAATCTCTTTGCTCAAATCGTACCTCAACTGAAGGTGGGTTTTAGAAGACCAACAGATTCTTCACTTTGCAATTGAACACTATCACTTTCTTTACTTTGAAACAGGCTGGCTTACCTCAATACGGCATGCCCTCAATTGATCCATATTTCTATCGCCGTGGCATTTTCCGTTACGATAACGAGGGCGTGCAAGGCGGGCTGCTTATCAAAAATATGTACATTAACGGTATTAGTGAATTAAAAGTGAGCACATTCCTGTCGAACTTCACCGAGAAGGCGTTCATTGTCAAGCTGAGCATCGAAATACCACAAATCAAGGCGAATGGACAATTTAAGGCCGATGTGAAATTTGGTGGCTTGCGTTTGGTGCCGAAGGGACCCTTCAATATAACGATCGGTATGGTCAAAGTAAAAGATGATTTTTGATTTGATCGGATCTATTAATATTTGTTTATTTGTAGATAACATACGCGCCACAATTCTGACCGACGGTTTGTTGGAGAACACCGAGGAAGGACGCCGCTTGAAGTTACAGCGCTTAAACGCCAATGTGGCGGTGGGCGATGCACGCATCATAGCGAATGGCATTTTCAGTGATCGCAATTTGAGTGAGTAGAGACAAAATAAGAGAGAAAGAAGGATATATACATAGTGAGAGAAAGAGAGAGTGAAGAAGATATATAGTGGGAGTAAAATGGACAGAGAAAAAAACATATTCATATTATAATAATAATTGATAAGCCTAATACAAGGATATGTATATGTAAATATGTGAGGGAGAGAGAGAGATAAAGAGAGAGAGAGAGAAAAATATATAAAGAGAGCGTGAAAACGCTAGAGATAAAAAGGAAAAGAAAAAACAATATTTATTTTATAAGATATATTTCTACTAATTTTCCATTATCTTTCAGATGCAATGATATTGAATTTGGTGAACGAGAATCTGCCAGAAATCACCCGAGTAGGCATACCGGCTACACGTGAGCAGTGGGCACCCATTTTCACAACACATATCAATCAGTTCTTTGCGAATGTTCCTATTGATAAGCTTTTGATAGAGTAAACATACCATTACTTTATACATATATGTATGTTTGCGAGAAGTTCAAAGAGACAACTCATTTAAATATTCGCTCTACAAAATTGACATATTTTTTAAGTGCACATACGTAAATTTAGTAAGCAACCTAATTAATTATATACATATGTACAATATAAGCGAAAAAAATACAAGTTTAGTTTTTAGTTTAAGTTATTCATTAACAAGAACGACGCATGTATTTATTTAAATATTATTGCATGACAGGCCCTAATGTACCTTTGTATTATTAAAATATTTATACTTTCGACACGATTGAAAATTTTTAGCGATTAATGTAAATAAAAATAATAATAAATAATTAATATAAATATTTAGTGAAGTTTTTTTTTATATATGAACTTTCTTCTAAAGGTTTTACTTACTCTGGAATCATGGAGCGTTTTCCGAAGCGGATTTTCTGTTTTTTTTTTGTAAAACAGAAAAAGGTCACAGGGAGCCATATGTGTCGAATACGGTCACGCTAGAATGTGACGGCCATTCAGATCTTTTGGTACACGCTCACCCAAAACATTAACCACAAAGTATTGAGTCGGTCCAAAAGAGATGTTACGATCCTCTAATATCCCTCTGATGCCAATACGACGATTTTAAATTATTTTTTAACTTTTTCGATATTGCCGTCATTAACAGAGTTGGATGGATGAGTCGTATGAGCCTAGTTTTTGATGACTGCACGACTTTTGTTGAACGCTTTGCGCCACTCAAATACTTTTGGACGTGATAAAGTGACACATTAAAACACTTTTGCAAAATTTTTAACGATTCCATTGGGAACACACATTTTCAAGCAAACTCGTTGTTCAAATTTGTTTCATGGTAAAAATCTCCAGAGAAACAGAGAAACTCGCGTCGTAAAAAAACAGCTGCAAACATACACAAATTGACATATTTAGATAAAACTATTAAATAGATGTGAATCTGAGCTCTGTAAACTACTTATAGGAACTAAGTAAAAATCTGTTCAAGTTTTTCGCCTCCTAAAAGTCAGTTCTTAGTAGCATTTTTTTATTGGATACTTTTAATACATTTTATAGCTTCCCACTTTCCTAATATGATTTACATATTATATTTAACGTTATCAAAGTCAATAATAATTACATAATTGTATTGAGAACGTGCAATATTTTTCAGAATTTTCCATCTTTTATGTGGATAATAGTCTTTGAATGCAAACTTAAAGTTAATTTATTTTAAACTGACAAGTATTCAGCGTGGAAAATGATCATCAGATGATCAGTAACAGTTTGACAGCCAATGCATTAGTGAATATGCGATAGTTACAAACTGTAAAAAAATTGCATACTTTTAGGCTGTTGTTAGGTGCCAGTTAAGTGTATATTAATCCATATATACATATTTGACAAGAAGAAAACATAAAATCTTTCAGAGTGACCCGCTACTTATCCATATATATGGATTTTGGTATGTACCTCTGGCTACTGTAATCTTAAAATGTTGAACATTTGCATCAATAAGTAAAATAATGTATATAATTAAGCTAAAGAAAAATCTTTACTTTCTAAAAATTATTTTTGGCAAAAGATTAAGTCTACGAGTATACCAACTTTTCTTTTTCTTCACTTTTCCGAAAAAAATGTTTAAAATTTATTAACGAGATGGGTTGAAAAATTTAAATAAATTATGGGTTTTTATACCCTGCACAAGGTATATTAAGTTTGCTACGTTGTTTGTAAAACCTAGAAGGAATCTTCGCAGACCCTATAAAATACATATATAAATCAATGAATGCGTGACGAGCTAAGTCGATTTAGCCATGTTCATTTGTCTGTATATACGCGAACTAATCTTTCAGTTTTTGAAATATCGATTTAAAATTGTGTACACGTTCTTTTCCCCCATATCGAACCACTATAGCATATAGCTGCCATACAAACGGACCGATCGGAATTAAGTTCTTGAGGGAATCTTTTGTATTTTTGAAGGGTATTATAGCTTCGGTGCAACCGAGGTTAAGGTTTTATCTTGCTTTTAGAAAATTTCACTAAAATGCCAGACAATAACCTTAAATTTTTTCTATAACCTGCTAAAATGCAAAGTTTTGGATGGGGCGGCATAGACGACTTTGTCCTCTTTGTTTATCAGTTTCTTTTCCTTATTCTTTGTCTAAGATACTACACAAAAAAAATAAACAAATATATATAACAAAAATAAAACATAAAAATTACTCTATTTAGGTCTGACAGCACTTTATTGCATATGAGTTAATCCCACTTGACCAATTTGTTCCAAATGAACTTATGACACACAAACAAATGCTTGGACCAACCAACGCCACAAGCGAAACATCCAAATAAAATGTCAATAAAAAAGAAATGAGGATAAAGGAGTGGCCCGATGAATGTTACAAGCTGAGAACAAAAAAGAAAAAGGCTACCGAAATACTTGTATTGTCTCTTTTGTGTTGAATTTGGCACAACTAGCTCAAATTGGGCCAACAAAGCAGGAAATTCAAGTGGTAATTCACTAGGAATGAAATTGAAACAGAAAACTAAAAAAAAATGTATATAGAAAATCGAAATAAAGAAAGTAAATAGCCAGCTTTTGAAATTATTGTTGTTTCTTAAGTGTATCATATTTACAACAACACAGTGTCATTACAACTGAGTCACACTTCAAATTTGATTGATTTTGTTTATGGTTAATTTACGATGCTGAAATGATTGCGCTTGAATTCCACACAAACATGTACAGAAAGCCACAAGAACAATTCTGTGTTCTGAAATTTCACAGCCGCTAGCCGTTTGTCTTACTGTAAATACCTTTGCACAATTGGCTTGAGAAGATTAAAGATTTTGGCGGTTATTCAGGGATTGCAAGCGCTCCGCACTTACTTTTCGCCACTACTTTGCATTAACAACAATGGCTTAATGGGACTTTTGATTGAAATTCAATTGCACATATTTATTTATTTCACCAGTATATAAAGTGAAATAAATTCAATAATATATTTCCTTCTCTTCTTGTGTTTTATGAAAGTTGTAAAAAAAGGAATTTAGGTTATTCACATTTTAAGCTTTTGAAATTTGCTGATTGCAGCATATTAAGATGATCAAACAGTGCGAAGCGATTGAAGATTAAGAACAGTGTGGAGTAGTTGGATGACTGATCGTTTACTTATCGGAAATGTTTAAGCGTTTGGTGTATATTGGTTTTTCTGTAAAATATAACTATAAAAAAATCTAAATAAAAAGATATTATCTTCTGCATCTTGCTCCGAATTGAAAGTACAGATCATAAAAATTTCCTAAATAAAACATATTTTATAACAAATTTCCAATTAAAAGATGTATTTAAAGGTATAATTTTATAGATAATTATTCGTGCATATGTGGTCATTATTAGTGAATAAAAAGATTCGATAAAAGGTAGGCGACTTCTGAAGGATATGCAAAATTGACCCTTACAACGACTAGAGGTATACTACTACGCAAATAGTTCGATTTGTTCGTGCTTATTAATACATAAAAGCTTTAAATTATGAAGCATCCCATCGAATTATATGAAGAATAGAATAAAAAAATATAACTGAGAGAAAATCTTTACTTCTTGGGCGCTCTATGTATACTTTCTTCACAGAGTTTGATCTGTTTCCAAGTATTTTAACTGAAATGAATACAGTTTTATTGTGAATAAAGATTTTCTCAGTGCAGCAACTTCTTCACCAACATTTAGTTTTACAGTTGTGCAAAAAGCTGTTTTAGGGGATGTGATAGCTTAAAAAAAGGCTAAATCAATGTTTATACATATTTTAAGAATACACAGTAACATTTTCGAAACAAATACTGTGTCTCTATTTCCTTGATTTCTTAAATCTTATGTGAATATCTCTATAGTGTAGAGGAATTGATCCGATTTATCTTATATATTTATTAAGTAAGCTTATACTAAAATAACTAATTTCAGAGGGTATATTTGTAATTATACAGCTGCCATACATTTTTTCATACAAGAATTTTATTTATTCCTGGTTATTTGAATTTTCTTACATATATTTTGAGGTTATGTGAAAAAGATGTTAATACACAGCTTGTAAATCTTTTTATTACTGAGAACTCTCAAATATAATATTTTCTTCATAGAGCTCGCAGTTTTGTCAGTAATAAAGATAAACCATTTTTTTGCTCTTAAATAGGCAACCATCCCCTCCCCTTCCTCTACCCGACCACAGATCGCCTGTAAATTCTTTTTATACTCTCGCAACCTGTTGCTACAGAGTATAATAGTTTTGTTCACCTAACGGTTGTTTGTATCACCTAAAACTAATCGAGTTAGATATAGGGTTATATATATATAAATGATCAGGATGAAGAGACGAGTTGAAATCCGGGTGACTGTCTGTCTGTCCGTCCGTCCGTCCGTCCGTCCGTGCAAGCTCTAACTTGAGTAAAAATTGAGATATCTTTATGAAACTTGGTAGACATGTTTCTTGGTACCGTGAGACGGTTGGTATTGCAGATGGGCGTAATCAGACCACTGCCACGCCCACAAAACGCCATTAATCAAAAACAAATAACTTGCCATAACTAAGCTCCGCAATAAGATACAAGACTGTTATTTGGTACACAGGATCACATTAGGGAGGGGCATCTGCAGTTAAAACTTTTTTTAAAAAGTGGGCGTGGTCCCGCCTCTAATAGGTTTAATGTGCATATCTCCTAAACCGCTAATGCTATATTAACAAAATTCACTAGAAGCAAATGTTTTTAGCAGTTCTATTGACGGTGTGAAAATAGTTGAAATCGGGTGGCAACTCCGCCCACTCCCCATATAACGGTACTGTTAAAAACTACTAAAAGCGCGATAAATCAAGCACTAAAGACGCCAGAGACATTAAATTTTATCTCTGAGATGGTACGAGATGACTTTATAGGAACCGCGTTCAAAATTAGTCAGTGGGCGTGGCACAGGCCACTTTTAGGTGAAAACCCATATCTTGAGATCTGCTTAACCGATTTCAACCAAATTCGGTGCATAACGTTCTTTTCATGTTTCTATGTCACAGTGCAAAAATGGGCGAAATCGGACTACAACCACGCCTACTTTCCATATAACACCATTTTAAATTCCATCTGATTATTTCACTTTCCACTATGCAAATCAAGCAACAATGACTGTATCGGGATAAAACTTTGCGTGAATAATGCGATTAAAGTATGCCACCTTGTGGCCAAAAATTGTCTAAATCGAACCAAAACTGTTCAAACCCCTAAGTACTAAATATGTGGACCCCAGTGCCTATAGTTGACCTTCTACCGAAAATATCAGCCAATCCACAAAGAAATCTCAAACGAGTATACTATTTGACTTTGCGAGAGTATAAAATGTTCAGTTACATCCGAACTTAGCCCTTCCTTACTTGTTTTTAGTCTATTTTCATTGATCTTGTAATTAAACGGCTGTTCGAGTTCGTTACCAAAGTCTTTTGTGCGAGCTGTGTTTTTAAGTGAATCAAGTTCGTGCCTTAAGTCTTTTTTCTCAAAGTTTCATACTACCATATAAGCGTATATTTTCTTGTTCAAAACAGTGTAAAAAATTTAATATAAGTCTCATTCCACTATCAGCGCAAAGAAAAGTTACATAGTAAAAGTGAAGTTGAAAGAGATACTAAAAATTCATTACAATAGCATACTATAAAAATTGCAAAACTTTTACACAAATTAACATAAAAACAATAAAAGTAAATAAAAATAAGAAAAAAAGTAAGAACTTTATAAATTGTGGTAGGAAGGTAAATCGAACTTCGTATTTATGCAAAGTAAAAACATAAGAAAAAGTAGAAATGAGAAGGACAAGACAGACAATGGGTGGAGTATGTAGTATGGGCATTAGTAGGTGCGCATAGAATATTCTATGGTCACTCAATGACCACTTGTTTGTTGCTGTTTTTGTTTTTGCTGAATTTGGTGTTTATTTGTTAGACACACAAACTATTGAGAGGCTAGTTGTTGGCCGATGGATAGGTTATTTTGAATTTTTACTGCAACTCAAACGGAGCGAGAAAGTCAAGAATTCAGTCGGGTTGTTGACGCGTAAGCGAATGGATGAGCGTTTGGAGGTGGTACGAAGACGAGCCAAGTGTGTGATTAAGAAAAAAATTATAAGTATAAGGCAAAGTGAAGTAAGAGAAGGATAAGAATGGTGTAAAAAATGTGGGAATAAATTAAATATTTTAGTGTTGATTTTTAAAAATTAAAATGAAAAGTATAAAGAATTATAATCTGCTTCTAAAAAATAAAAGCCTAAAAAATTTTTTGTGAGAAAAAAATTTATATACAGTATTAAAGGGTGTGTAGTGAAATAAAAAACTATTTATGTAAAAGAAAGTTTTAAAATCCAAGAATCATAAAGGCATTAAGCAATTAAAAAAAAAAAATCTCACAAAAATCCCACACAATTTCGCTTTTTTTCTATTCTTCGTGATTTTGTTTTTTTGCGCTGACTTGTCGTATTATTGTATTATTTAATCCCATTCTAGTCGAATTCATATGCATACATGTATGTATGTAAGTAGTGTTCCTTAGGCAGTTTGTTAAATGCTCGTAATCAATAAACCAATATGTCATGTTCATTCTTGTACTGCCGGCGTTTTCAAGTCATCTGCGCTTATAACAATATAAATGGTTGTTGTTGTTGTCATTCGTGTTCCAGCCATGCCGTTCTAGTGCGTACAGAGCACCACACACTTAACTGTTGACAGAAGTGCCGCGCAGAATTTTCGATTCAGACCAAAAAGTGCGCTCAACATAAACGGTCGTGGCCTAAAAAGCAGCGCGAAAAAGGTGGAGCGAATTTTTCAAGAGAAATCATTAATAAAATTTAAAGGACAACTCGTCGTGCTTATAATTTATAATTTTTTTAATAAATTTTGAAAGTGTTAAAAAGTTAAAAAATATTCAAAAATTAGCAAAAAAATTTAGTGAAAAAAAAATTAAAATTTAGTTAAATTATCTATATTTTCAACAATATTTGTCGTAAAAGCGCGTATTTTCCAATTAGACATCGCATTTGGCTTGTGCCTCTTGTTTTTGGATTCTGAAATATATGCGCATTTTTGTGTTTATCACAAAATGTCTAAAATTTTAAAGACTCTGCTTTTATTCTGCTCATTATGGCATGCGATATTGTGCGCTGAACTCAATACGACTGTGGCACAAGTGAAATTATTACCCGCAGACATCGAGAAAGCGCTACTTTTGGCTAATGCTGCCAATACAACAGAGTCGGCGTCGTCGTCGGAGGATACGGAAATCATCGAAGGTGAGAAATGAAATGAATTGTGGGAAATATGAAATATTTGATGGCTTTCTGTAATTTTTTTAATTAATACCAGAGTAGTACAACAGTGCGTATGAGTGATATGTTGTTCGAAAATAAATAATTTTATAATTCTTATTGGAATTTTTGAGCACTCTAAGCAGAGAATGTTAATGAATTGACGTTGTCTGCTCTAAGTGATTAAACAATTAATTATGAGTATCTTTTGTTGAGAAATATGAAAATTACTCAAATATTATTACTTCAAAAATTTTGTTGCATAAAAGGATTATTTATAATTATTTGAATGATACGGTTTTAAAAGCAATTTATGTCCAGAAAAATTTAAAAGAAAATTCTGCAAATATACCAGGACCGAAGCAATTGAAAAAAAGTGAAAAAAAGGATGAAACCCATTGGATAGGAAAATAATAATTTTGATTTCTGGAAAATCTACAAGTCCTATGGAAAAAAGTTAAATGCCAAAATTGTAGGTTATAAAATTTATCTGAATTATTCAAATAACCAAGCTTTTACAAAATATTTTTTCTTCGTGTAAAAATTTGTGTCCGCAAAAAAATATTCAAACTCTTAAAGCACACAAAAAAACAATATTAAAACGCTTAAAACACAAAAAAAAAATTATTTAAAATATTTTATTTAAATAAATTATTGTAGAATTCCATTTCTAGAAGTAGAAATATTTACAAAATATATTGATTTATTATTTGGAAAACTAGATTATATTGTTTCAGTTTTATATTAGAATTAAAAAATTCAAAATGTGTAATTTTATCCACATAATCGTGCAATATACTAGACAAATATTATTGTTTTTTTCATGCAAATATTTTAAAATTTCTCTTAAATAAAGAGAAAAATTCTAAAATTATAGAAATTTCATTTGAAATTAGGGCTATATTTCCAAATAGATCTGCCCTCCCATTCGCTATAAAATTTATACAGATTTATTCATGTGATAAGCAATAATTTTTTTTTACGAAATTTAACGAAAATTCCAATAAATAAATAAAAATTGAGTTCAAAAAAATTTCAAATTATTTTGGTAAAAAAAAAAATTTATAAAAAATTTTATATTCTTTATTAAAAAAAATATAATCCAGGCCTATACAATACCGGAATGCTCTTAGTTTTAACAAGAAAATGTATCACTTACAATCTATTTATTGAAAGTTTGAAAAAATTCATTTAAAGCACCTAATTTCGGAAAGAATATTCTATTTTTTTTGAAATCCAGGCCTTACTAAAAACATGGATTTATGAAGAAAGTATATTACTATTTTGGTTAGCTAGCCTGACGAAAAGAAGCTTTTTTCCGCTACTCCCTTTCTAATAAACTGTGTTTCCAGCTTTTCTATCAAAGATGTTTGTTGGTAAGGAGACATTGATATTAAATTTTACCAAATTGTCTTGTTTTTTTTTAAAGCTACTTCGCAAAAAGTAAATTTTAACCAGCACAAGGCGCCTTCTCACAGGAAATACCTTTAATGCGCCCTCATATGGTAATATCTCAGGTGATCGAAAGCTGGCAGTTCATTGACTCCTCCCCTAACACGCTAAGCGCCGATTACTCACACCAAAGCGCACGGTGTTTAAAAGTCTTGTCACAAGTCGCGTATAATGTCTTTGAATCATTCTACTATTCAAAAAGCTAAAATTCTAAACACAGAAAGCGAATATTTCATTTGACCTTCACTAATAAAAACTAATTGAACAGATTCAATTGATTTTAAAATTTTTTGCACCTTTTTCAATACAAGTAAAAAGTAGTAAAAACGTGCACAGCGAGAAAGTTGAAAGACAATGACACACAATCATCATTACGTATTTATATATGCGTGTGCATATAGGCGCACATATTGTTGGACACACATACAAGCAATTTGGTAATGTTTACATTTGAAAATGGTAACGAACTCAGCTAGTGACAACAAACGCAACAACCATAAAGCACGCCGGTTGGAAAGACGTGCCGCACGGGAATGCTTAACAGCTTAGGAGCAAGAAGACTGAGACGAGGCAGCAAAACAGGGCGTAGGTGTTAGTGAACGTGGAGTGTTTCAGCAAACTTAAGCCTAATTGATATGTGTGTATGTTTGTGCGTGTGATTAGACCTCTTTTGTTGATTACTTTTACATTTTGCTCTTTGAAAATGTGCGCACGCGCCTTGTACTGCATACACACATTACAATTCTAATTGCGCTTATCGATACATCTGGCTATTTCGAGTTCGGAAATTGTCACTCCAATCATGTCGGTGTAATCGCATTAAGAGATTTCGTGTGATTTAACAAATTGACGGGTAAATTTTTTTGTAGGAAAAAGTGAGACATTGAAAGCGATCAGCATTTTCGATAAAATGTTTTTGTTAGCAGACCAATGAGCAGTATTGTGGGGGCTAAGTTCTGAAATGTGAAAGGCATTTTAGCTTAAGCTTACGCAGAAAACAAAAAATAATTTATTATAAGTTTTTAAATGGTTTTAAGATGATTTATCGAAGGTAGAGATAACAAGTAAATTTTTTTCTGTAATATATTGTTCTTTTGCTTTTATATTATATGGTCTATTGGTCTGTTTATTCTAATGTAAATATTCTTTCTAACTACAATTTATCTTATAATAACACTTAAAAACAAACACAAAACAACAATTAAAAAAAATTTAAATATTGTAAAAAAAATTAAATTTTTGTATTTATAAATAGAATTTTCACTGATTTAAAATTTTCAAAAGATTTTAATACAAATAAGTAACATCTAATTAAACTGAATTTTCTAACCATTGGATTTTTTTCGCAATGTTTTTAAAGATAAATTTTATTTAAGTTTTTTATAAATGATTTTCATTACAATAATAATGCAACCAAATACTTTTCAACAGAACTTTTTCGAAAATTTTTTCGAAGATAAGAAACATCAGAATTTATTTATTTTTTTTATAATTTATACAACAGTTTTCAATTAACATAACTTTTCCAACTTTTTCGGAATTTTTTTCGAATTAATTTAATTTTCTTATAAATTATTTGCAAAATGTACCAAAACATTTTTCAACTAATTAATATATATTTTTCAAAAACTCTTTCGAAGATAAGAAATAATCAGAAAATATTTAATATTCATATACATTATTTAAAACACTTTTCAACTAATTTGAAAAATTTTTTCGAAAACTATTTCGAAGATAAGACATACTCAAACTTTATTCTTATAAATTATTTACAAAATGTACAATATCAAAATAATTTTTTACAAATTTAAATAATTTATGCCAGAATTTTGTCGAACATAGGAAATAATCAAATTTTATTTAATTTTCTTACAAATTGTTTAAAAAATGTATCATAACACTTTTTGAGAAATTTAAATATGTAAGTTTCTTCGAAAATATTTTCAAACATTGAAAATAATCAAATTTTTTTGGAATTACAATTTATTTAAAAAATTTATCAAAATCCTTTTCAACTAATTTAAAGAACTTTTTCGAAAATTTTTCGAACATAGAAAATAATCAAATTTTATTTAATTTTCTTACAATTTATTTAAAAAATTTATCAAAAGACTTTAACAAATTTAAAGAAATTTTCGGAAAATATTTTCGAAGATAGGAATTAATCAGAACTTATTTAATTATCTTAAGAATTATTTGCAAAATTTATGTAAAAACTTTTCAACTAATTTAAAGAACTTTCACAAACAAAGAAAATAATCAAAATTTATTTAATTTTTTTTATATTGTATATATCATTTATAGAATTTATAAAAGCAATTTTCTATGATTTTAAAAAACATTTTCAAAAATGTTTTTTGTTTTTCTTTGAATTGCTTACGAAATTTACTTAAACACTTTGCAAAAGATTTGAAATAAATTTTTACCATAGATTCTCTGTTAAAATCCAGCTTTACATTAAATGAACTACTTGCATTTTCTTTTTGTAATTTCGTAGCCCCAAACCAACCACTCCCCTTCCTACATAAACCCAGTATGAACTATAAATTCTCATGCCAGTCTCACAGCAGCAAATGGCCCATTTACATAAATGGCTTATAATTCAAAGATTTCAGGCATGAATGAATGGAAAAAACCGGTAACCGATTATTATTATTACGGCAACGCATTCAATTGCAGTTAAGAAGTAGCTGATGATAGTCTTTTATTGGCTGTTGATGCTTAAGAAAAGCAAAACGCGGCTTGGAACGTGCCGGCTTCAATAACCACGACGGCAGCAAATGAAGTGCTGATAAACAAACTGCATGCACCCAAATGTATTTATATATATAGACATATGCATGTATAAATGATAGGGACAGCATAACCATCGTAGTAAGAAGTCGTTGTAAGCTTTAAAATAAGCTGCCATCATGCTACCTTTAATTACAGCTGAGCCACTATTTGTCGTCAAAGTGTGATAATCTTAAATCTTGACAATGTTTTTTATGTATTTGCGCAGTTGCATCAACTGGGTCTCGGAAACCTTGAACCTGAAAATCGAATTTCAGGCTAATTCTTGCATTCTAGTACAGTGGTGTAGGAAATGCTAATTAAAGTGGGGTAGAACATGGGAAAATACTGTTTTCCGATTTAGAATTTTAGTATGATATTTTAAAAGGTACTTGTATAACTTAACGAAGTAAGAAGAAACGAATTTTTGATAATTAATTGTTAAATCGAGTGCTGAAACATAAAGAACTTTGATTTTCACTATGTCAAATTCAATGACTGAAGTTGTTAAAACGATGGAAACCGTTTTCATTTAATTTTTTACAGAACACTTTTCAAGACAAAATGAAAACTTGTCGCCGTTGAAATAATTATTCTCGAACCATTATGAAATTGGCAAATTTTTTGTCATTGAACTTAACATTTACGTTAGGAGAGAAATGTTAATTGACTCAATTAAGTAGTAGTAGGCAACATGAAGCTAATAAATTAAACTAAAAAAAGAAAATACGTTAGCTGCGGTTGCAGCACAGCTATACTAC